CTAACCTGAAGAAAATCAAATTTTTGACAACTTACAAATTTCAAATGATAAAGAGAGACTCTGCAAAGTTTTGTCAAAAAAAAAAAGATATTGTTTTTTACATTAAACAGACATTTTGCATTGTATTCTGGTGTATATCCAAGTATTAATGATATAATTAATCTGTTTCGAAGTAAACCAATATCTTTTATAGTCATCACCAAAAATATTCTCAGTCAATAAAAAATTATTTGAACATGAATATTTTCTTTGTTTCTGTTCTAGAAGAAATAGGACTTAACGAACTTGAATTGAAACTATTAACTAATTGCCCATTCCATCACATAAAACAAAGTTATAAATATTATCTAGACAGTGTTCTTCCTATCTCACCTATTTGTATCTCTCTATTTTTGCTCAATACTTCATTTAAAAGTTTAACATCGTAACTTTTGTGGATAATCATATCGTAGGAAACTATTTCAAGATGAATAAAATATGTATTCACCGATGAAAAAACCTATCAAGCAGTAAAATGTCGTTCTCAGGTACGTGCATTAACTTCATAATAAATTAAATCGATTTACTTGAAAATTTTAGAATAAACTTTCTATGAGCCAATGTGCCCTTAATAAAATCTTCCAATGGAGACATTCAAATAAATGCTTTTTCTTTTAATATCTACTAATGTTCACCATCCGATGTTCTAGTTATCTTTATACTCAAAAATATATGCAAAAAAAATTCAGTGCGTCGTAATCTGTAATAGTGCATGTTCTTTCATACGCATTTAGAATTATGATTTTCTTTCATTCTCTTTTCTATTTTGTAATACTCTAGTTTAAGCCCCCTTCCTCCTCTCCCCCCCCCCCCCGTCAGAAACGATTTTCCACTTTTGACGGTCTTTTCATGCTGAAATTTTCAGGAATGACTGGTCTTGGAGAGATACGCTTCTGGTAAAAATTTCAGCTCGATTGGTCATACTAGACAGGATTTCCAGCTGATTCATGGGTCATTTTTGGCCTTCGGGAGAATTGATATAACTGCGTCATAAGAAGAAGTAGAGAGCTCGAGCTGGTTTCAAATTAAAATACATGTCAGTACGCAACTTTTGTCCGAACAGAATTTTGATATTCCGTCCTGTTTATTTTTTATGAGCGTTTTAGTGCGAGGGTCTCAAAGTTAGCATAAAAAATGGTAGTCCAACGACAGTAAATTCCACTTTTCACAGCCCAGGAACCAACTTTCAAAAATCCGTTCGGACAAAAATTTACTCTGATCAAGACCTTTAAAACAAAAAATATTGGTAATAGCTCAAAAAATGAGAGAGGAGTTCCAATTTTTCTGATTGGAAATCATGTTCTGAGAAAAACCTTAAAGAAGTTTTAGAAGTGGTTTTTTTCAGTCAAATTCAAAAAACTCATATTAAAATGGCATATTTTCAATAAATTTTCTAAAACTATTTTAAGGCACGTAAAAGATGCAGTAAAACTAACGCCATTTGACATGCGGGTTAGTATCAAAATGTTCTGTTCAATGATAATTGAAGTAGTAACGGAGTTTTTCCAAAACTGAAAAACTTGTTAAAGTCTGATCTGACAAGTCTTTGAAAAATTGATCATTTTCCAAAAATCTATATATATTCTGAAAGAGGAAGCTTCGCTCTATCTTCCTGTGGTAAAAACTCAATTTCGATATTGTTTGAAAAAAATCGATTTTCTGAGGGGGGAGTGACCCTTAATATAAAGCAATTTGTGATTGTCCATATATTTCTTTTTATTTAAACAATAGTTGAAAATCAACGTAATCTAGGCATATCTACATGAAGAAAATAGTCCTTAAAATGCGTTGGAAATGGAAAAACGTTATCATAAGAAGTAAATTCCATTTTAGCACAATTGATCCTTGTTGCATCTCTTTGAAAATTATCTGTTAATAATCGCAAAGATTCGTAGTGAGCAATAAGATGAACATTATTTGGAAGATATAATTTAGTATCAAGTAAAAATAGTTCGATATAATCATCATGAGCTTCAAGAAGATTGAGTTCAGTTAGATGAGAATATTTAATAATTAATAAATCTTGATTATCATTTTCTGATTTATTTCTTTGCGGTTTATTATTAATTACACTTAATTTTCTCATAAATGGAAACGATTGTGCAATTCGAAGAAAAAATGCATGTTCAAATGGACGTTCATCATGTAATGATACTTCATAAACATATTTAAATAATCCACCAGGAAAATTATTTGAAATATTATCATAATGTTCCAATCTATATGGATGTGAATAAATAAGGCAATAACTATAATGGCTCTCTTGAAAATAATCAGCACAAGAAATAATTTGATTATTCATAAAATCTTTGAATGTATCTTGAATCTCTTCATTTAAAGGTATATTATTTTGATCAGAAGAACGATTGAATAAACGAATATTAAATGTAAATTGATTTAGTCTTGGCATATGATTGATAATATCCTTCTTTAAATCATTTCCATCAATAAATCCTTTATAACGATCGACCTTAAGATGCAAATCCAATCTTTCTAGATTCAACATTCGATGTAGAAGTGGTACAATTAATTCATCATAAAAATGCACACGTGTATCGCAATATAGGTAAAAACATCTTAGATTGAGTAGCTTTTCCTAGAAACAGAATAAAAATCGAATTCTATCAACTATTTTCATATTTATCCAAAATAGTCACCTACTTTATTATTCATTGTCAAATTATTCGAGAAAACTCGAAAAATATTAACATGAAATATACGAAGTTGTTGAAAACGTCCGTCAAGTAAATAAAGACAATCAGAGAAATATTCGACACAGACATGTAATTCTAACAGAGTTGAACAAACAATACTTGGAGATGACATGCCAAATGATAACCGTTGATACCATTTTAAAGATGCATTGAAATTTAAATGTTGTAGGTTCAACTGCAGAA